GTTCCAGGAGAGGCTCAGGGTCCTGAGCGGGCTTGCAATGGAAACAGCCTGACCTCCTTTTGGAGTCACCTTCAGGGGAGGCAGCAAATGGAGAGGTCTAAAGGCTCCGCCTCCTGTACTGAGCAGAGGGAGGCTGGGCTGAGATTCAGCCTGGCAGTTACATCGTGGGAAATCTTCCAGGCTTCGTGAAGCTCCCAAGAAGGTTCTGGAGCCTGCACGAAGCAGGTGGCAGACAAGGAGGGTGGGACAAGGGAGCTGGGCTCACCCAAGTGGGGCCATCTGCTCCCTGAGGATCCCCAGTTCTGAGGACAGCTCTAACCTTGGGTGACCTGGCCTCTTAGCAAACCCCGACCTTCCCTTGGGAGATAATGGGGTGCAGACTCTCTTTGTTCTGTTAAAGGACTCTCTGTCTGCTTTCGATGTGTGTCTGTGTGTCTGTGTGTCTGTGTGTCTGTGTGTGTGTGTCTGTGTATGTATGTGTGTGTGTGTGTGTCTGTGTGTGTGTCTGTGTATGTATGTGTGTGTGTCTGTGTGTATCTGTGTGTGTGTGTGTGTCTGTGTGTGTGTGTATATGTGTGTGTGTCTGTGTGTCTGTGTGTGTGTGTGTGTGTGTCTGTGTGTGTGTGTATATGTGTGTGTGTCTGTGTGTCTGTGTGTCTGTGTGTATGTGTGTATCTGTGTATGTATGTGTGTCTGTGTGTATGAGTATATGTGTGTGTCTGTGTGTATGTGTATATGTGTGTGTCTGTGTGTATGTGTGTGTATGTATGTGTGTGTGTCTGTGTGTCTGTGTCTGTGTGTCTGTGTATATGTGTGTGTATGTGTGTGTGTCTCTGTGTGTGTCTGTGTATGTATGTGTGTGCGTGTGTGTGTCTGTGTGTATGTGTGTGTGTCTCTCTGTGTATCTGTGTATGTGTGGTCTGTGTGTGTGTGTGTCTGTGTGTGTGTGTTTCTGTGTCTGTGTGTTTGTGTGTGTCTGTGTGTGTATGTGTGTGTGTATGTATGTATGTGTGTATGTATGTGTGTGTCTGTGTCTGTGTGTGTGTGTGTGTGTATGTGTGTATGTATTTGTGTGTCTGTGTATGTATATGTGTGTGTGTGTGTGTGTGTGTTTCTGTGTCTGTGTGTGTGTCTGTATGTATGTGTGTGTCTGTGTCTGTGTCTGTATGTGTGTGTGTATGTATGTGTGTATGTATGTGTGTGTCTGTGTATGTATATGTGTGTGTCTGTGTATGTATGTGTGTATGTATGTGTGTGTCTGTGTATGTGTGTGTGTATGTGTGTGTATGTATGTGTGTATGTATGTATATGTGTGTGTGTCTGTGTGTGTGTGTGTCTCTGTGTGTGTGTGTCTGTGTGTGTATGTGTGTGTGTCTGTGTATGTATGTGTATATGTATGTGTGTGTCTGTGTATGTGTGTGTGTATGTGTGTGTATGTATGTGTGTGTCTGTGTGTGTGTGTGTGTGTGTATGTGTGTCTGTGTCTGTGTCTGTGTGTTTGTGTGTGAACATGCATGACACAAAATGCACATGGAGGTCACAGGATAACTTGATAAGTTAATTCCTCCCTTCTTTACGTCCATTCTGGGGATTGAACTCAGGGCACCAGGCTTGGGTCAAAGTACCTTTACCCAGAACTCCCCTTTCCCAGGAGGCCTCTCTCTATCAGAATTACTTAGGGGCACTCATGGCCCTATCTGAACCAAAGGGGCTGCAGGGGTAGAAACCACCCAGACCTGGTTGTATCTGGTGGGGCATCCCTGTAATCATTGGGAGGTGGAGGCAGGAGGAGGATCAGGACTTCAAGGTCACCCTCAGTTATGTAGAGAATCTGAGTGGGGGCTATATTAGGGGTAGCCCTTGCTTTGTATTCTTGGGGCCCTGGGTTTAATCTCTACAACTAGAAAGAAACCTTTGGGGACAACTCAGATGGCTCAAAAAATGCCTAAGGAGAAAACAAACAAAACCAACCCTTAAAATAAAAGCCCCAGCTCAGGGCTGGAGAGATGACTCTCAGTGGTTAAGAGCACTGGCTGCTCTTGCAGAAGACCTGGGTTCAATTCCCAGCACCCACATGGTGGCTCACAACCAGCTATAACTCCAGCTCCAGAGGCTGCAGCGCCCTCTGCTGGCCTCTGTGAGCATTAGATATGCTCGTGACCCACAGATACACATATTTAAAAAGCACAGACCTTTAGCAGGTCCCTTCCAAATTGCTGCTCTAAATTAGCTCACAGCCCTGTCCCTGATGGATTGCTGACATTCCAAACTCAGGACGTCCTGGCTCTGTTTGGGGCTGTGATGGAGGGTTAGGAACCAAGAGTTGGACAGTCTTCCCACAGTTCCCAAGGTGGAGAGGGACACTGGGTTTTTCCTTTGTCACCTCTCTTCGACTCTGTCATCCAGTGGGTCCCCACTTCTGGTCTCTTTGCCTCCATATCTCCCTTCTCTACTCCTTTCACTGTTTCTTAGGGTTTAGACTGAAAGGGGAAAAATTAATAAAGGTCTAAAACCCAGACTCCAAAGCCCAAAAAGAAAACTCTGAGTTCCCAAAAGGCGTCTCAGCAGACCAGGTTAAACAAAGGTCCACAGGACTCAAGCCCTTAGACCAGACATCACACCCTGGAGCGGTGTCCACATTCCTCTGGTCCAAAGAGGATCAGATAGTTATCAGTTGTAGACGTCCCCAGCCCAGGAAACAATTAACAAACTCATTTCCTCTGCAGCCTCCTGCTTAATTGTACCCTGCCTGAAACATACAACCATTGCCCTGTCCTGTGTAACCACGCAAGTTCTGTAATCTTGGGGCTTCCAGCCCTACAATTTTCCCTTATAAAAACACCCCTCGGTCGCAAGTGGGGACTCCGTTTGTTCCCGAACGAATGGGGTCCTTAGTTCAAATCCTCGAGTCAATAAAGAAACCTTTGTCCTTGCATTCGGTGAGTCGTCTCCTTGTTGGCGGGTTCTTTTGGGGTTCCAAATTCTGGGCACAACACAGATCTTGTTCCGTGCCTGCAGTTCTAGACCCAGATACCTGCTTTGTTGGGCCTGAGGGAGGGAGAAGAGAGAGAGAGAGAGAGAGAGAGAGAGAGAGAGAGAGAGCATGCACGCTTGTTGCTCAAACTTTTCTGTGGCTTTACAACCTGCCTGCTGTTCCAGGTCCTTCCTCTGCCCAAACCTCACGCTCGCATGGTACATGTCTCCCTGAGATGGCACAGCTGAGGCTCCTGGGAATTTCCTCCGATAAACAAGTAATAGAACAGGCCCCTCCTTCCTATCTGGCCCCTTGTAGAAAAGAGGGAGCAAAGACTGCAAGGAAGGGATGGGGATGTAGAACGTTGGCCTACTAAGTGCAAAGCCATCAGTTCAAATTCTAACACCAAAAAAAGAAAGCTGAGGTTGGGGGAGGGGGTGGCATTGCATAGCGTTTGCCTGGCACCCACAAAGCACAGAGTTCTATCCATCCCAGCACCCCATGAACCCAATGGTGGTCTGCACCTATAATGCCAGCACCCAGCCGGTGGAGATAGGCGGATCACACAGCAAGTTGGAGGCCAGACTGACTCAAAAAACACAACGGAGCAAAGGCCCTGTAATCCCAGTGATGCTGAGGTGGGAGCCGGAGGTAGGCGAGTTTGAGGGCCCGCTAGCCTGGACTACATGGCAAAGCTGCTGGCCAATGGGGAGCCCCGTCTCAAATAGGTGATTGAAGGTACCTGAGAACCAATCTCCGAGGTTGTCCTCTGACCACCTCACACCAGCACTGTGCACACCTGCTCCTACACACGCTGGTGCATCCACAAGAACACGCATGGCGCATTGAGGGTGTGACCTGCCTGGTGTGGGGATACACATGGTCACGCGATGACAGAATGTCTACACCAGCTGTCCCTGGTCACCATACTCAACAGGACAGCAAGGCCTGGAGGCAGGATGGCATTTTCTGATCTGTCATCATGAGCAGACAGACACAGGTACTCAGAAGGCAGGAGGCCAGGGTGGCCATTGTCCCCACGCTAGCCCTGTCAGGTCTCTTCCTTCAGGCCCTGTGAAGCCGTCGAGGGGCTCCATGCCGGAAAACACCCGTGAGTGCTGGACCTTGTCCTGGCTCTGAAGCAGGTCGAAGGTCTTCAGGAAATGACTTGTAACTTCCTAGGCCACAGTTGCCTGCTCTCTGAGATGGTGACATAGCGAGCATATGGCTGCTGGTTGTGGGGCATGCCTGTGATACCAGCCCTGGGGAGGTTGAGGCAGGGCTTCAGGTTCCATTCTTAACACCCTGTATGCTAGCTGGCGGCCCTCAGCGCGTTATTCCTCCTCTCACGGCCAGTGTGATTTTGTCACACCATATTGTTCTCAGTTGGTAAAGCCTCAAGTACTGTAGGCATTGTCACATTACATATATATATATATATAATTTTATTTTGAGAAAAGAAAGTAAACCCTAGTGCTTCTCAAATGGTAAGTGCTCTACCACTGAACCACACCCCCAGCCCCTCACTGGGGGATTCTCGGCAGGGGCTCTACCACTGAGCTCCAACCTCAGAGCTTTTTATTGGCAGGGGCTCTACCACTGAGCCACACTCCCAGCCCCTCACTGGGGGATTCTAGGCAGGGGCTCTACCACTGAACCACACCCCCAGCCCCTCACTGGGGGATTCTAGGCAGGGGCTCTACCACTGAACCACACCCCCAGCCCCTCACTGGGGGATTCTAGGCAAGCACTCTAAAGACAAACTATATTTCCAGTTGTCTTTTTATTTTCTATTCTGAGACCAGGCTTCACTAACTACCCCAAGTTCATTCTGTGACCCAGGCAGGCCTTGAACTTGAAATCATCTTTCCTTGGTCTCTCTAGCAACTAGAATTACAGGTCTGAGCATCAAGCTCACTCTTTTGATCTCTTTCGGTTTGGAAGAGGTGACAGGGAGAAGGGAGACAGAGGGGCAGGCACGCGTGGGGCTACGGTTTTCTTAAGTTCCCCTGGCATTATCCCCTGGGCATTGGGTCAATCCTTCTTGCAATGGAACCTGCTTATGATATTGTGATGATGACACTGCTTCACTGTGACAGTCACTGTGACAGTCGCTTGGATCACTGAGAGGAACAAGTAGTAGAGAGAACTGTATCTCAAACCACCAACAGAGCGGGGCAAGGTGACAAGTTACACCTGAGCTTCAGATAACTTATGACAGACCTAAAGGCAAGGCAGCCAGATTAACTTATCAATATTAAACAATTTACGACACTCATGCAGCAGTGCCACCCCCACTCTTGAAGGGCGAGGGAGTTCTGAAGGCTGAGAA